AATGTCAGAAAACCTTATTAGTCGAAATCCCGACCAAAAATAACCTTTCTAGATCGAATTACGGGCCAAAAAAATCTGATTGGTTGAATTACCCCCCCTGAAATCCTATTGGCTGAAACCGCAATGTCAGAAAACCTTATTAGTCGAAATCCCGACCAAAAATAACCTTACTAGATCGAAATACGGGCCAAAAAAATCTGATTGGTTGAATTGCCCTCCCCCCTTGAAATCCTATTGGTTGAAACTACAATGTCAAAAAACCTTATTAGTCGAAATCCCGACCAAAAATAACCTTTCTAGATCGAATTACGGGCCAAAAAAATCTGATTGGTTGAATTGCCCCCCCCCCCTTGAAATCCTATTGGTTGAAACTACAATGTCAGAAAACCTTATTAGTCGAAATCCCGACCAAAAATAACCTTACTAGATCGAAATACGGGCCAAAAAAATCTGATTGGTTGAATTGCCCCCCCTCCCCTGAAATCCTATTGGCTGAAACCGCAATGTCAGAAAACCTTATTAGTCGAAATCCCAACCAAAAATAACCTCTGATTATCCTTCGGTGAACCGTTATGTTCTTTTGACCCTCTGCGGACATACAAGCAAGCAAGCAAGCAGACAATTTATGTTTGTAAGACTCTTCTCTACGAGAAAGAGAATAAAAGAAAACTTTTTTAAAAAGTTTTTCTATTAAAGTGTAAGTATTCCATGTTTACACTACATATCAAATACTGTTTTATTTTTGTTATCGTTAAACGAAAATGTGAATCCTTAAGGTTTGTAGCTTGAGTGAATTTTGCATGAGACATTGAACGAATACTTTCAAAATTTTGTTCAATTAGAGAACAAGTAGATAAGGCTGAGATATTTTACAGATTAGTACGTAAAATGAATGTTAAAAATCAAAGCTCATTTTAATAAAGAAGGGTGTGAGTGGTTGTACATGTGAATGAAAATAAGAACTAAACTCATACCCACACCCTCAGAGTGGGTACAAAATTAAACTCTGAAAAAAATGATGTATGCATTCGCTTGAACATCTGAAACAGTTAGGTTATTTTGAATCAGTCGACAACAATGACTTAGTTTTTTCCGAATTCACATAAAAAGATGCAGAATTTTATATAGAATATTGTAGCATATTTTAAATTTCAGCAGATCCGTTTCTAAAAGCTCTCTTTAATTTTTTCGCATTTTTCACTTTCGCACTCAACTTTGCTCTGACGCGAAAAATCTATTCGAAAAACAAAGTCGACATTTTTGTAGAGAATTAAGTTTTCTATTAACTGACATAAAAGTCAAAGTTTTAAAATAAATTGTTAAATGCTTCAAAGATAGGAAATAAAAATGAGTCATTTATAGTGCAGTATCTGTTATCTTCCATTTTCAGAGAAAAATTTTATAATTTTTCAAAAGAATCTTGAATTGAATTTTCTACTGAGGGAGGTTTGTCATTTTAGCGGCAGATCCTGCACGTCTGGTAAGAAGAAATCGAATTCTTTTGACAAACAGTGATATAATAATAGTAAAATTGCATTTGAAGAATAGAACATATCTAATAATCATCTTTATTTTCTTTTAGCCTTTTCAATAATGAAATATATCAATAAAATTTAGTTTAAATTAAAAACAACTTTATGAATTATTTAGTTTTTTTTTCATTGAGCTTCCATAATTAGTTAAATTTGTACACAAAACTTTCTGTGTAGAGAATAAAACAAACGACTAATCGATCAAATTAATATTTCTAACTTACAATCAAACTATATTTCCAGCATATGTCATAATAATGAGAAGGAATAGATAATTGAGAAAAAAAAGACGTTTTTTTTTTCATAGGTGTTGAGTCGATTCTTCAAGTTAATGTTGTTGCCGATTAGTAGATAATGATGAGTTAAGACTTGTTAGTGTTGGACATATGTAGTTCAGATAAAGAAGATTCACTAGTTGTCAGTTGACGAGAACAATATGGTATTGATACTCTTTATTTTTCAGATATAAATAAATAATGAATGGGTATGGATGAAATCAATTTTGATTGAGTGTCCTGATGATAATTAAGATCATATAATTTTTGTATTTTACTATTGCTATTGATAGCGTAGCAAAGATATAGAGCTGAAGAGATATACATGATTTTGATTTCAAATAGTTATAAAAATTTTGTGCAGAAAAAGGTTCCTTACAAATCGATTACTTTCTTTGATGTGTCATGTAAACAGTACAAGCACATCTATCCGGTTATTTTTGGGCTCTTCGTTCTCGGGATCATCGCAATAGAAAATAATAACGTACAATGCTGACGTCTAGGAGGCAAAAAACCCAAGAAAAACTTGCAAAAGACTGCATCAAAGCGATATGAAGCGATCTTAATATTTGGCAATGGAATTTCAATTATCATAAAATAATGATGAACGGTTTCACCAAGAGTCGATTCTGTCCTATCGAAGGTTTCCATTATTTCTCCTACTAACAACAATCGATTGGATATTATTTCACCAATTTTAATTATCTCGGGTAAAAGTTGGAGGCCAAATCGTCAAAATCAGCGTTTTGTGGAACTTACTGAAGAAAAAGGATAACTCATATTCAAGATTCAAAATCGTTTGGATCATCTCAAGACATCTATCCCCCTGATATAGTTCGAACGAATTTCTATCAACTTACCTTCCTCTAAAACATCGCGACACAGGGTACAGATTTTGTTACCGCAAAAACAATAGGCAAAGTAAGAAGACCGAATGTGTGTGTGAATGATTACATAAATGCTGTGCTTCGCACCGCATAAAAAATCAATTCTACGGATTTGGTTGAATATCTTACAGGAAATCAGTGTCCTATTTCAAATATTATCGTGCAATAGAGGACTCATTGAGCTATATTTTTCATATAGAAAGTATAGCTAATTTTTTCGAATGTGATCAGATACCAGACGATATCACTAAAGCGATCATTAAACATTCGATGAAGCATATTCCATATTTTCAATAACAATAATCAAGATTGTTAATTGTTTAAGACGACCATCAAGTAAAGCAAGACAATCTTCAAAATGTCTCACATGAATACATAATTTGTTAAGAGTTGAAGAAAAGAACGTAGTTGAAGGTACATTACTAAGTACCAAAGATGAATAATAGTGTGGATATAATCCAATAATAGATAAATGTTTTAGATCTTCAAAGAATTTCAAAACATGTCCATACAGATCTGCCGTATACTGTTTTAGTGATGCTTTATAAGAAACGTATTCGAATACAAGAATAAGATCTGTAATTTGTCGTCGAAGAATTCGTAATGGTGTGTCATCTAAATAGAAAATAAATAGTTATTGTCTAATCCATCTATACAATACAGGGTGTAAAAAAACCATTACGCCCCCCCCCCCCCTTCCAGACCTAAAGACCAAATAGTACCCCCAACAATTTTATACCAAATGAAAGCCCGCAAAAAGTTACGTCTAGTGGTATAGTCAGAACAAATATAGTTTGTAATATTATAACGATTCTAGGCTCAATACATCATTTTCACTTATGTGTCACAGTCTCATATCAATTGAAATGATACAAGTTATCTTTCTTCACTTTCGAATTACGTATTAATAGATCGTAGTTTTCATGGCTCCAAGTTTTTATTAAATGTACGATATCGTAGACCAATATGTCACGTATTTTGCCAAATTTTCGTTTTCTAATGTTATATTTGAGTATCACAAAGCACGTGAGCGAGTTGAGTAATGTTTAGTGTGAATTATCAAAAGCCTTACTATTGATGACTGATAACGAGAAGAAGGAACAGAAAAAAAGAAAGTTATGTGCACATTTATGCACGAACAGATAAGAAGAGAATACAGAAAAGAAAATGGTCGAGTGTCGAAATATTTTCAACTTTTTTCATTGATTTTCTTTCTGAGTATCTGTTGTCCGCGCAAGTAATTTTTATTCACGTTAGACGTTGAACAATTTGCTGATTAGTTAATAAAAAATTCTATGGTACATTAATTGAAAAACCAAAATGGCTAATCTGCTTCATGATTCGGAAGAGCAACGATTCGTTGACAGAATTCGATGTGTCACATATCGTGAAATACGTGACGAACTGATTGCAAGAACAGGAGACTCAATTATTACTCGCCCTTGGATTTCCAAGAAGCTACGTCGCAGTGAAGATTGGGTACGACGAAATTGGAATAAATCTATCGAAGAATGTTATACACAATTTGGCAGTGGTCGACCCCAGGTGCTTAATCAGGAGAGCAGAAACATTATCTCTTCTGCAAGTGGTGTCAAAAGCAGTAGCTGTCGAAAAGTTGCAAGAGAGATTTTAGAGAAAACAAAACAGCGGGTGAGTCACATGACTATTTACAATGAACGCCATCGGCAAGGATTAAAAGCTTTCCATGTGATTGCCAAGCCACTGAAGACAAATACACATATCGAAGATCGCTAGTGGCTAGCAAATTTTCTTACTGATTGGACTGAAGAAGATTTTCTACATGTTGCACCTTCGGATGAATTTTACATTTATGTTGTAAGAAAACCAAACCATCAAAATGATCGAATTTGGGCAAGAAGTATTGAAGACATCAGTGATGATGAAAGATACCGAGAGATGGTTTACAATGCAACATGTATTGGGGTTTTCGTCATGTTTACTGCAAAAAAACTACTTTGGGTGCTAAAAGAACATGGACAGTCTTGGGATGGCGCTTATTTTCGTGACACTATCCTTCGACAACAGGTGATCCCACTTCTTCGTGATTCGTCCAATGTTCTCGATACGAACGAAGTGATATTTCTTCACGACAAGGCACCTTGTATGAAAGCGAATGCAACACAACATCTTTTAGAAGATGAGAATGTGAATTTCTGGGGAAATTCAATTTGGCCAGGCAATAGTCCTGACATGAATCCTGCAGAAAATATTGGTGCAATTATTAAAGATAAAGTTGAGGAACTAATGGCAAATGAAGATCGTCGTAGCAGATACAATTACGATGCACTGAAAACGAATTTGGAGAATACGCTCAAAGATCTTGAAAATGATACAGATCTTTTTATTGACTTGTTATGCTCGATGCGAAAAAGATTTGATGCTCTCAAGGCTGCTGATGGGGGTCATACGAAGTTCTGAAACTTTCGAAAAAGCATTTTTTAGTATTCAATATTATCAATAAACTGAATAATTAATGATTCACAACTTAAGTTACTGTTGAGCACAACGGCTTTTGACGTACTCGAGATTGTGATATATAAGTGAAAATGATGTATTGAGCCTAGAATCGTTATAATATTACAAACTATATTTGTTCTGACTATACCACTAGACGTAACTTTTTGCGGGCTTTCATTTGGTATAAAATTGTTGGGGGTACTATTTGGTCTTTAGGTCTGGAAGGGGGGGCGTAATGGTTTTTTTACGCCCTGTATAAGTATGTCTTCATAAATGGTCATACTATTTCACTGAAGCTTATTGTTTATAGTTTCATCAAGCTCGCCGAATTCTGAAGATCCACAAACAAATGCCGACAATAAAACACAAGTTGCGTATTTACAATTTGAGAAGAAGCTGACATTTCTCAGTATTTTTTAGGATAACTCTTCAACACACGCGAACGGAAATGATACAAACTCACAGAGTCCAGAACCATCATCAAATGAAACTCCATCATCAGAGAAACTATCAGGTAAGAAAATGGTTTATGACATAATCATTCACAAACTTGTTTAATTCAAAGGCGTGGAGACATCGAAAACGGAAGCAGATTATAATCCACTCTCACACTCTGATGATTCCAGAAACAGTCATCAATACTTTGATTACGCTGCTCTTACTCAAGAACTTTTTAGTTGAACAAACTAAAAATAATTTTATTCTACGATATTTCAATGAGCAACTTATTTTTAAATAATAATTTTATAGTTTCTTGTTTCAAATCGCATCAAATCATACGATATTAGACAGTTAATGTAAATGTGAGTGAAGTAAAACATCAGTACTAACTCACGATTGCTGCAGTGCCACTGAAAAACGAGATCCATGCTAGGGTGCGGTGTGGGTGTGGATGGGGTGTGAGTGGTGCGTGGCTGCGGGTGTGGATAGGGTGTGAGTGGTGCGTGGCTGTGAGTTTGAATGTGGGTGCGGGCGTAGCTGGAAAATAAAGCACTCAAACCCCACACCCACACTCACTCACACTCACCCAGACACACACACCGACATCCACCCGCCCACTCACCCACACACATCTGCACCCGCATCCACACCCACACACTCACTCACACCCACACCCACACCCGACACTCAACACCCACACACCCACACCCATCCACACCCACACCCACACCCCACACCAACACCCACCCACGCCCCAGTTTTTCTGAAGTTAGGTACATAACAAAATCCAAGACGTTTTTGCACAAAATAAGTGAATATAGTAATATTTGGAGAGTTTGGTTAAAATTTGTTGAAAATACAATTGAAAAAAGTTCAGATAGTTTTAGCTATTTGTTTGTGTGCATCAAAAGGTGTCCTTGTAGATATGAATTGAGGTCTCGTATACATTCCTCTATTTGCTGAGAAAATTTTTGCATAAAAGCGCTACCGGCATAGGCAAGTAGTAAGAAGAGAAATGTATACATAAATTATATATTTGAATAGATAGTTTAATGTTGCGCAACACAATCCGTTTATGTTTATCTGTTTTTATTCTCTTTGCAACGAGTTCTCGAAAACAAATTTCTTTTTTTGACTTTCAAAAAATTCATTTTGTCGAAGTGTAGTGCTGGCAAGTAGAATAAATATCTTGTATAGCCCGTAGCCTATGATATTAATGTGATAATCAATCAAAATATGTTTGTTCCTAGTATTTTATTCTAACAAAATCAACAACAATGAGTAAAGAATTAAAAAAAAACATATGGAAACAGATTGAGTCACGGCTGTACTGTTTTGAGTTACTCATAATGGTTCGTTTCGTATCAGTGAGCGCGTATTTTCACAACGTTTGGAATATGCCAACTCGACAAATAAACAAATGAAATATTAATCATGTTATTTCGTAATACTTAATGAAAAACAAACAATTTGATACTCAACGATGAAATCAATTTCTTTAATTTGATGGGTAACAACAGTATGTTGTTGAACATTCTAGCCTGTTTAAGAATATTTTTTTCCCTATAGGAAGCTCGAACCGTCCCTCGCATATTGATCAACCTGAAATACACGATAACAATTCTATTGATCATTTTGATATTGTTTGGTACGATGAGAGATCTCGGTCTATTCTTCTACAAAATGAACAATATTCAGCACAAATTCAATCTTGAGGGTGTGGGTGTGGGTGTGGGTGTGGATGTGTGTAAACCAAAAACATCCACACCCAACACCGACACTCACACCTACACCCCACATCCCACGCCCACACCCCACATCCCACACCCACCCACACCCCCACCCCCACCCACACCACACACCCACACCCCACACCCTGGAACTGTAGTGTAGAACGTTGTTTAACCCTCATATCACCACCTACGATCTGTTTGGACCCCAGACTACTCAATTTTTTTTTCAACTCTCACACAATAGTGGATCTATTTCTCCGCTTCTAGATATGTCTCGAAGAGGGTTAGCCTAACTTATTGATGATATCAATGTCTCCGATTGGAACATGGTTAATGTCGAAAAATAGATTGGAATATGTATTTGCGTGTTTTCATCGTTTGGGGTCCAAACAGATCCCGGTGAATTGAGCTAATTACAGACGTATTGTTGATGTAATATCGTTCGAATTCGAGTCTTGATGGGCTGATTCATCTATAGACAGTATTCTAGAAGCTTCTATGCTATGTTATAAGTATCCGAAAATGAATTCAACTTGGGTTTGGTATGATCGTATCGAACTTTCGCAAAATATTCTCTGTTATCTTACAATGTATAATTCTATTATATGAGACTCGTAGAAATCGCTGAATAGCTTGGAATGTAAATTGTTCCAGCGTATTAACACGTAGTAGTGTAAGTATTTGCGCCAAACATAAAATTCTACGGCTACACAGACACAGGGTCTTAGACTTTTAATGACTCGCCCAATTAATGCTAAATCGAAAGATAGTGAAAAGCTACATTGTCACGCTTGTGCAAGAGTGCGAGATAACAAATTTGCTACGCGATGTTCAACCTGTAATGTTTCTTGCTGCCTGAATCATCATAAGATAATTTGTGTCTTTTACTTGGAGTCCTTTAATGAAGATAAGAAAAAAAGAAAACGTAAAGAATAAAGATCACGAGAAAATGGCACGAGAAGAACTTCTTTTTCCAAAATTCTATTTCTAATAATATTTCGCACATGATTCTTATATTCACTGCACGACTCGATAGAAATTTTGCTCTCTGTTTGATTCCAAATTGAGCTGGGATCTGTTCGGACCCCAACCAGGAAAAACTTAAGTATTAGATAGGTGGTGATATGACGGTTAAATAAATAGTCATTTGAAGAAACATCGGTAGTAATTATTGATATGGTCGCAAATTATTAATGCTCATTAGTGTTTGTAATTAAAAAATGATAATGAAAGACTCGCATGAATGGTTTTGTTTTGTACATGCAAACTAACCCTGTCGTATGATTCATCACCCTTACGAAAGATAATTACGACATATTGCAATGGCGATTTTTTTTTGTATGTAGCTGCACGTTCATGTAGCTTACCTTAATCATAACTAATCAACTCAATACTTATTTATATCGATCTCTTGTTTCGATTCGACAGAATAAAAACAAGAATCCTGTTTTGTTTTTAATTTTCATTTGTTTTTTTTTCCAACACGATACCAATCGTTCCAATGTTGAGGGCACGGGATCATTAACCGTGAATGAAAATATGAGTAATGATGAGAACAGCAAAAGAAGATGAGAAAAAAGCAGTCATGGGAAAAAAAAGAGGAAATATGTGTTGTATGTGTGGTCGTTTCTCCTTCTCCGAGCATCAATTATTCACCTGTATTTCGGTCGAACGAGTATAACAACGGTATGAGCAAAAAGCAATTAAAGACACGTGGTAGCTTCACTAGTGAGCAGAAGATCCAGAAATCGTCCTGTTCTTTTACAGTAGCGCTAAGCTCTCGAAAAGTAACAACTACCTCATCCATTGCCACTGTCCATCAAGATCACGAAGGATAGAAGAGCGAAAATCAATTGACGTAGTGTTTTGCGCTTTTTCACCTGAAATATTGCGAATATCTTTAGATGATAGCGTTAGTATCCACTCGAGATATCTAAGTAAGAAGCATGATTATTCGTAATCGATTTATCTTAGTTTTCATCTACTGTATACATACTTCGAATGCAAATGGTAAATCCTTTTCCTCAAATCTATTTTGTCGAAATTCATCGACGTTGACGTGCACCCGTGTGAGTCACACTTTTTTTTTTTTATTATGGAGCATCTAAATTGGAGTGCAGGAAGTGATGTATGGCTTCATCAATATGATGCGTCATGCTTCATGGGTGAGTGTTTTTTCTCCCGCCCTGCAGTTTTTTTCCAATTACCAATTCATTCATTTGAGAAGAGTAAGTGTTCTGTGTCATCAACCGAACAATCGTTCGGACAATAACGACTTCACCATTTCTACATTCTAGTTTTGATTTTTTTTAAAGCAGATATAGAGTTACTTAAACAAAGTGAATTATTATTTTTAAAGGCAGCGTACACTCATAAGCTATTCAGATGTGGTTCAATTATAACAAACATTATTTTCTCGTGAACGAAGTATTTGAAGAAGGCATCAGTTTAAAAAAACGGCATTCTACTTTTTTAGGACAGTCATACAAATTGTAGTTTCATCCTCCTCTATGTTCTAGCTAAATTGTACAACCTGAAAATGGGCAACGAGAATAGTAACGGCGCCGTATCTGAAGCTAGAATAGGTGAAGCAAGTCCACTCTATTGGGCCTGTCGCAATGGTGATGTGCAAATGGTGAGGCAAATTCTATCTGCTCAACAATTCGTCGATATGAATCAGCTTGAACTGAATGGATCAACTGCTCTCCATGCTGCCGCTTTCTTTGGTCACGCTGAAGTAGTTCGTCTCCTGTTACACGAGTACGGAGTCATCCGACATCGAAAGAA